CCCCCCACAGAAGTTAACTGGTGTATGATGACACGTCACCATATATTGTGCTGTTGTCCCTTCAATAAATGACCAAGATTACTCCATTTTCTAGTTACCTACTTCTGTGTTTATTGTCTTCTCCCTGTTATCTCTTACTACCCTTTGTTATCCCATGGTTACTATTTAGTTACTCTTACTATTTGTCCTTGGGAAGTCACAGCAACTTTGCAGGAGAATCAAGAGACCAAATATACATTAATCCACTAGCTTTTTATACTATTTAATTCTAAGCGTGCAGCTCTGATGTCAGAATGGATGAATATCTTCCACATGTTACAAGTTTCAGTGGGAGTTTTCAACACTGATCAGAGGCATTTTTGTTGGCGTTTCGATTCAAGGCTTATGTTTTAATAAATAAAAAGAATTATATTCATTGATGTGATGGTGAATGTTTAACAGCGGGCACTCCGGGGAAAAATTTAAAAGCCCCTATTTGACATGATGTTAGTTTAGATACAATAGACATAAATAATCTCAAAAGCACAGATGACAGTTAAATTAGGGCATGATGAATTTTTAGTATTTATTTCCTTGGCAGCTTTTCTCAAATAGAATTAAGTCCTGTAGAAAATGATTTGAGGGTGTATTTTCTTATTTTTGTCAAGGATGGTGCATATCTAGTCCATTGTAGATGTTTAGGTAACTCATTAGGTACAACGGATGCCTTAGACTTTGGTCTAAGCATCAGCATCAACTGGAAAATGGTTAGAAAAGCCAATTCTTGGGCCCCACCCAAGACCTACTGAATTTAGAACTGGAGCTGGGACCCAGCTATCACTGATTTAACAGGGCCTGTAGGTGATCCTGATGAACCCAAAGTATAAGAGCCACTGCTCTGGGACACTGAATTTAATAGCCCTACCCCTATGCATTGAGAAGGTTTGCCGTAGGACCTTAAGTCCTCTGCTTCCAGCCAATGGAAAAGGAAGGAAAGGGTGCAGAATTTTCACTCATTTTGTAAAAGCCTCAGCCCAGAACTGACAGATAATTCTGCTCACATTCTATTAACAATAAGTACAGTAGTCTCCCCTTATCCACTGTTTCGGTTTTCTCTGTTTCAGTTACCCATGGTCAGCCACGATCTGAAAATACTAAATGGAAAATTCCAGAGATAAACAATTCAGAAGTTTTAAATTGTGTGCTCTTCTGAGTAACGTGAGGAAATCTCACGCCTTCCTGTTCTGTCCTGCCTGGGACATGAATCATCCCTTTGTCTAGTGTCTCCATGCTGTAGACACTTACTCACTTAGTAGCTGTTGGTTATCAGATTGACTGTCACAGTATTGCAGTGTTCTGTTCAAATTACCCTTATTTAAAAAAAATAAAAATAAAAAATCACCCTTCTTTTACTTAATGACCTCAAAGCCATTCACACAACTTTCATTACAACATATTGTTATAATTATTCTATTTTATTATTAGTTATTCTTGTTAGTCTCTTACTGCACCTAATTTATAAATTAAACTTTATCATGGATATATATGGGCAGTAAGGAAAAAACATAGTATATATAAGGTTTGGTACTATCCAAGGTTTCAGGCATCCACTGGGGGTCTTGGAGTGCATCTCCCACAGATAAGGGGGCTTACTGTAATCATATGGCTACCCAGTGATGTATTGGAGCCAGCTTGTATCTGCTCATATGAGCCTATTATCAAATTTTCAGGCATTTTTGGGAGCCACTTGACATTATCTTGGGAACTTAAAAGTGGCTATGGGGAGTTTTTACACCACAGAAATAGGCAAACACTAAAATCAGGGCCTTTTTCCCATCATCCCAAGAGAGCCCATTGTAAACATATACCAGCACACCACTGACCTCTACAGGCTTAGCTGACTCCACTGGGAGCTCTGCAGCTGAAATGGCCCTTCAAAATTCTACTACTTTGAGCCCCACTGACTGAGCCTCTGTACCCTCACCCTGATCAGTCATTGAATGAGGGTTGCCCTGGGAAGGGTATGCCCTTGGGTAAGGAAGCTCTATGCAGCTAGGACAGTCCCTGAAGGGACTGACAGTGAAGGATGTCTACTAACATCTCTTCCACCATGGGGGGTAAGAATCCATCCTCGAAGTGGATTCTGAGTGGCATATCTTCATGTATACCACACCCCCGCCCTCCTTCCAAGAGATCCTAATATAATTGAGCTGGGGTGAGCCAGGACATTAGTATATTTTAAATGTTCTCTGGATAATTGTCATATGCAGCCACACTAGATACTATTTAAAAGAGTCAAGCCGCCCAGCTGGGCGTGGCTCAGTGGTTGAGCATCGATCTAGGATCCAGGAGATCGCGGTTTGATCCCCGATCAGGGCACATGCCCGGGTTTCGGGCTCCATCCCCAGCAGGGGGCGCGCAAGAGGCAACCGATCAATGACTCTCTCATCATTGATGTTTCTCTCTCTCTCTCTCTGTCCCTGTCCCTCTCCCTTCCTCCCTCTGAAATTAATAAAGATATATTTTTTAAAAAAATTAAGCTGGTTGCTGAAATGACACTATTTTTTGGTGGTTTGTTTGTTTTGCTTTTATTAATGTTTGTACTCTACCTCCTTTAAATGAATTTGTGCCTAGAGCAAAAGCCTGTATGCAGCAAACAATTGATAAATATTTCTAGGGTGGTTGGCTAAAATAATTATGATAACTTTGAAAGGAATTTTACCCAGAATAATTAATTTACAAGTCAAATGCAATAGAAATACAATAATGTATTCACAAAATGAATTGATAACTTCATGAATTAAGTTATCTTCAAGATGTTAATCAAATAAATCACATGTATGCTTTTCTATTAAAGAGGAAGTTAGAAGATCTGAGCTCTGAGTGGAAGGCGGTAACCCAGTTACTTCAAGAGCTGAGGGCAAAGCAGCCTGGCCCAGCCCCTGGCCTGGCCACTGTGGGAACCTGTAAGTATGCTGGATCAATTCTCTTTGGCTGTAGCCATTTGCTCGAAAGCACAACAGTGAGGCGATGTCTGGGTGAAAGGGGAAACTTGTTGTAATTCTGAAAACAGGAATAAACCTCTGTGTTATTTACTATACAAAATGCCTTAGAGTGGGTTCCTTGGCAATGGGCTCTGATTCAGTGTTGGACAACAAAAGTATATTGGAGTGTGTTTTCTAGATATATGCGTATGATAAAGAAAGGCACATGGGAGTAGACAGTGGAAGAGTCTGGAGGATGATTTGACTATGGCACAGGCGGATTCCATGGGCCGATCCCGTGGGAGCCTTAGAGCTGGGCTGGCTCTGCAGAGATGTACTGAACTGTAGGGAGAGGGCCTGGCCTTTGGATTCCTGACCCAGCTAGTCATTGCCCACCAGCTGCCAACAGAGAGGAAACAGAGACCTTCAAAGTGTTTTCTTGGTCCAAAGGCAATTGCTAGTTAAGGAACACCGTTAACAACCAGTAATCCCAGCAGCAGGGATGGGTGCATTGTCCCTGAAAAGGGGTTAGGGAGGAGCACCAGAGTACCCCCTAGCTCTAATACATGAGGGTCCCACCAATGAATCCTGGATCATTTGGACCATATTCTTCAAATATGCCTGTACAAATTCCTGAGACCACAGAAACAGTCCTCCTAACCCCTCCCCTTGTCCCATTCCAAAACAATTTTAAGAGCCCTTTGATTTTTAGTTCCAGAAAAAGAAAAATGGACTATGACTACCACAAGCAGACATGGGGGAGGAATGTTACTTTGCTTAACTATAGTTTAATTTTTTGCTGCATATTTTCAGTTTTTTATTTCACTTTCTGTTCATTTGTTAGTAGAATATATGCATAAAATCTCATGGCAATGTTAACACTGGCTCAGGGGAAAGGAGCCAGAAAAATTCTTTGCTGTACCAGTCCTATAATTGGCAGGACTAAAAACATCTTTGTGTGGTTTTTGTTGTTGTTGTCGTTTTGCCTTGTCTAGTTTTCACAGATCAAGTAATTGAAGTATTAAAGCATGGTGACTGGTTCTTCAAGTAAAGTTGGTTTTTATTTTATATCAAGTAGAAATGCGCCACACTGGAATGATCACACCCAGGGTAATTCAGTAGAACGCACAAGTAGTTCTTGTGTTAAGAGGCCATACAGTGTGGGGACAGTGTGTTTCATGTGCCCCCTGGGGCTTCTGAACAGTCATCGGAGTTGGATTTAATGACATTAGAGACTTGAAAAAGATGTGCAAGCATTCCTTTTTTTAAAATCAATCTGGGACACTAAAATTGCTATATCAGGGTTTATATTCAACTAATTATACCGGGCTTATTTCTTTTTAGACCTGCACTTTTTGGTTCCTTCAGCACATATGCATAGTTTGTCTCTATATAATCATTTATTGGTATTTGTTCTCTTTCTGTCATATGTTCAGACTCTAACTCTGTAAAGAGATTGGATCCCAATGATTTGTCGATAAGCTTGTTGAACTCTGAACATAATTATGGGTTTATGCCCCATTTGAGCCACTTTACTCATGGTAGGCAGGATACAAAGCCAGAGCACAGTAGTTGGTTTCACCTGTAAAGTACTTAAATGTAACAGTCTTTCTAGTAGAAAATATATTCGAAATTCCAATTTTGATTTCCAGCACCATATGTAATTCATCCACTTAATCGCTATTTCTTGAGTAACTTTGGTGTATTGGGCATCATACTAGGCGCTGAGGATACAGCATATAATAAGATAAAGCCCCTCCTTTTGTGAAGCATGTACTCTGATTTGAAGAGAAAGGCCATGAGCTAATGAAGAAGAGACTAGATACTATCTTGATATTAAGTGTTATAGAATGTATGTAGTTCACAGATCGATGTCAAATGGGCATTTGCTAGAAATGCAGAGTCTCGGACACCACCCCAGACCCAGTGATTCATAATCTGCATCTGCCTAGGATCCCCACATGATTTGTGTGCACACTGAAGTCTGAGAAACACAGTTAGCTGGACAAGAAAACGGGAGATGAGTTCGAAAGGAGCGCAAATGAGAACATAACTGTCTATAGTAGGGTCAGGGAAGCTTTTCTAGCAAGAGAACATCAAAAAGCTGAGAGAGGCAAGGAAGTGAGCCGTGTGTATATCTGGGGGCAATTATTCCAGGAGGAGAGAGAATGGCCTTGAACTGGAGCAAGATGGAAGAATATCAAGGAGACTAGTGAGACCAGAGCAGAGAGCAAGGGGACGTGTGGCCGAAACGAGAAGAGAGCATTTTCCTATCTCCTGCCCTGCTTTCCTCTCCCCCCCTTCAGAGTCTCATCTCCCTCTGCCACTCCCTACCTACCCCCATCCCTCCACACTGCTGCCAGTAGGAAGCCTGGCAATGGCCTCAGCTCCAAGCCACTGGTGACAGCTGGTGAGCTTGGGCCAGGGTTGGAGAGGAAGTGAAGGCGAGAGGAATTTTATCAACAGCAGGGGCTTTTCATCCCTTGTAGTAAACTGGCACAGAGCTGGGCATAAAGTAAAAAAGTTAAATGTACAAATGTCGAATGAAAAGAACCAATAGGGATTCAGGTAGGTCCAGAGCTACTTTTATTCAAGTAAAACATTCTTTTTTCTTTCACATGGGGTGTAAACATCAGAATTAAGAATTACTTAAATTCCTGACTTCCAGAAAGTTAATCAGGAATACAGCATTAAAAAGAAAAATCTAATTTGTATTATGGTTTTGATCTATGATTATTTCACATGCTATATTATAATACAATATAATACATAATTCATCATAGTAAGTTTTTCCCATTGCCCTATGTGCTGGCTGCTTTTATATATATGTCTTTATTATCAAAATAATTACAAAGAGCATGTGGTTATAAGCAATTTTTTAAAAGTAAGAATCCCAAGGCTTGGAGGGGAAATAGCTGGATGAAGGCCACACAGCTGGGAAGATACAGAGCCAAGATTCCAATCCAAGTGTGTCAGGCTCTAAAACCTGTGTTTTGTTTTATTTGGTTTTGCTTTGATTTTGCTGTGCCTTGTACTATCTCTCTGTCCAAGAGCCTAATGGGAATTGTAGATATGGAGACAGCTAGCCTATAGTTAATGTTATGTAACTCAATCTTGGATGTATGGGCAGTAAAAGTGAGATGTGTTGCTGTGTCTTTTCTACTTGAGTAGAAGAAATTAGTTTACTCTGTTTGAATTTCTTAGAATTCTAGATCTCTGAACCTAGAACAATCATTGAAATTATAATCTGGTTGAATATTCTTTTATATGTATGGAAAGTGAAGCCCAAAGTTCTTTAAAAAAATACCAAACCAAGCTCCCTTGTGGCTGCTTAGTTAAATTATATAAAATGAGGACAAGATGGTCGTATCTGAGCTGTTTAAATTGTTTCAATTTACAGGATAAATAGTCATGCTGGAAAAAGAGAAACTTCTTTGCAATCAGTTGCTTGGATACCTGAGTGTATCCCTTATCTATCTCTGCATGAAAACACCCCAAATGTAATGGCTTAAAACAGGAGTTATTTACTTGTCATGATTCTGCGGGTCTGCATACTGGGCTGTGATCAGCTGCATATTCTGAAGGTCTTGCTAAGGGCCATTCGTGTTCATGCAGTTATCTGGCAACTCAACAGAAGCTCGATGGTCTAAAATGAACCCACTCAGATACCTGACAGCTGGCGATCAGCTTGAGAACCTTGGCTCATTACAAGGCCTCTCCTCCAGGAGGCTGGACTGGGCTTCATTTTGTGGCATTCTCAGGACAGTGTTTCAAAAGGGTGAGAGTAGAATCTACAACACCTCTTGATAACTAGACTCTAGAATTCATACAGTATCACTTCTGCTAGATTCTGTTGGTCAAAGCAAGTTGTAAGGTCAGCCCAGATTCAAGGGGTGTAGGAATAGACTTCACTTCCCGAAGGGAGAAGCTGCAGTGTCATTGCACAGGGGCTTACATACAGGGATAGGAGGCTTTGTTGTGGCCATCTTTACACCCAAACCACTGCATTGGGAAATGGGTGGAGGAAGCAGACATGGATGAAAGTGTTGGTCTGCATCCAGTGTCCTGTGTCTGTGGTCCTCAGACTTAACTGTACATTGAAATCACCCATTGCTTATTAAAGCACAGATCGTTGGGCTTCAACCCCAGAGTTACTGATTCAGTAGATCTCGGATGAATCGGAGAATTTACATCTCTAAAAAGTCCCCAGGTGATGGTGGTGCTTCTGCTCCTGTGACTACACTTTAAGAACTACTGCCGTAGGCCTTTGGTGAGTGGAGGAGTTCATCCCTCCTCCTGGGTGCCACATGGAGCAGAATTTGAGTGAGATCTAGTGCTGTGGATGCCCAAGGGAACTCCATGTTAATGCATCACCACCATTCCTCCCCTCCAACCCCCAGAACTTTGTAGCTTGGAAGTTCAAGTAGACGGACAGCACACTACGCCCAGGTAGTATGTGCCTAGCAGAGCAGCTCAGAGGCCTGTGGGGAGCATAACCTGCTATAGGAAGCTTCCCTAGAGACTCTCAGAAACCTTAGGTAGATAGGACTTTGCATTGGACTGAAGGCCTGCACGGCAGATGGAGGCAAAGAGCCAGCAAATCTGGTTGTAAATGTCAATGTGAATCCTTTCTTAACCACAAGCTGCTGGGTCTGGGAACATTCGCATTCTACAATACCCGATTTAGCATTTTTGAAAGAAATCGCATATAGAACATACTTAATGTGAAGACTCCAAGTCAGGATATTGGAGTTTTTCAAATGTCCCAGCATAATACCTATGAAACGAATGACCATTGTATATATAGACACATCGAAGTGCCAGTTAATAGAGGTTTCTAGTTGATTAAATGCTGATAAAACCGTCTCTTCCTGTAATTAATTTTGGGGAGAGCAAGTCTCAAGTGTAATTAGAAAAGTGCTGCCCTGGAGGTCAGGAAGCCTAAATTCTAATCCCAGTCGTGCTACTACCTAGATAAGGGA